ATGCGCGAATATAAATTAAGTAACAAGCATGAACAATAATATAAACAAAAAGTGCGCTGTGCATAACACACATTCTTTAACAACAAATAACAATGTTTATAGACCCCTTTAATATTCATAAATGGAAGCCAAATAAAAAGTCCCTTGTGTTCATGTAAATAGACAATTCCCATTATAGACTAATTTTAGAACTAGGCAAAGAGATGCAAATCAAGGCCGGATTTTGGTGAAAATAGTGGGGGAGGTGGAAAAAATGTTAGGGGAGGTGCAGCGGTCTAGCTCACAACCCCTATGGAAAGTTAGGGCTTATTGTAGAACAGGCCAATATCAACGAGGTGAGGTATGCATGTAGTGTACATATGTACCAGTGTATTAATGAATTATGAATGTATGACTCCAATCTTGCCCTAATCATTTATACAATTGCTACAAAGTTTCTTTCAAAACATTGCATTAAAAGGGTACTTGACACAGAGATGAATGGCTATCACTGTTTCAATTTTACACAGAAAACTTTCTTACATCACAAAGTGTAGATCCTAAGCAAGCATCACATTTTCACTTTGTACCATTGTTGAAACTAATTCCCAAGGGGAGGTGCATTACCTTTCAGGGGAGGTGCAAAAATGCTCAGGGGATGTACAAAACGATCACAGGGGAGGTGCGCACCTTGCCTCAAAATCTGGCCTTGATGCAAATAAATCACCACAGCTACAAAGAGCATACTAAAATAAGTAAATTATTGCAAAGTTTGGTTGCGAAATGTTGTAAAATACGGAAAATATAGCCTTGCAAAGTTTGCAAATTTTGTCTACTTTTGTATTGCATGCAAAAATTGCAATACAAAAGTATACAAAATTTGCAAACTTTGGAAGGCTATATTTTTTACATTTTACAGCATTTTGCAACTAAACTTTGCAATTTTACTAGAAATACATGCATGCAGTAACCCCTCGCCAGTATTTTCCAAACATTAAATTAACATGAAGTATTCAGAAATGGCCAACACTGAACGGAGGTTTGCGCTCAAATGTTGCCATGACAACACAATATTCTTAAATTTTTAATCGTCATATTTTTGTTACAAAACTGCAAAATAGTTGAAAGATTGGCAATTGATAAAACTAGAATAGTGAAGCGAATAGTGCGAATAGTCGACGAATAGTACGAATAGTCCGCGAATAGTCGACGGCTAGTGCGAATAGTCCGTGAATAGTCGACGAATAGTACGAATAGTCCGCAAATAGTCGACGAATAGTACGAATAGGTCCGCGAATAGTCGACGAATACTACGAATAGTCGAAGAATAGTGCAATAGAAACTTTGCAAGGCTTTCCACCGTGCTGCAGAACTAAATTTACCGAAGCGGGGGGGGGGGCTCTATTGGCAAACATGAAATCGTGAAAACATTCGTTGATGTCAATGACGTCATACGTAATCGGTAAAAATTACGAGACCACTGAGTTTTAACAAATATTTAACAGGAAGTAGAATGACAATCACTAGAATGACGTTTTCCACTGGGCGAATTTGTTCGCGCGAAGCGACAAGTAAAAGAGTAGGCTGATCCAACTTTTTCGCGGCGAATTTTTTCGTTGACCAATCACATTGCCGAAATTTGGTTTTCGCTTCGCGCGAACAAATTTGCCCAAAAACGGGCTTAAATAATAAATCGATACCTTCTCTTGTTTCGCGATGTAAATCGCGTTTTCCAAGCACACGAAATCACTTAAGCCCTTAAATCTTCAGTTACAACGTCACAACTTACAAGTAAAATTCCTATAAATTCCATCAGTAAAATTCATGACTCGCTCATATGGTTACCACTTACCATCAGGAATGATTATAAATTTAAAAAATGTGAAATATATTTCCTGACGATGACTGAATTTTAGTCGAAACACGTCGGTCAAATTTAGCAAAATTTCTCCCACTCGTGCGGGCTCGTATTGTCAGCGGACATCTTACAGAAAGTGGGCAAGAGCCTGCGGTACTGGGAGAAAATTTGCTGAATATGACCAGCGGGAAAGCTACAATATTAAAATGTTTATATTCGAAGTTACCGTTGTTTTATATTTTATTAAAATACTCAGTGGTTCCCATAATTTTTACCGGTTACGTATGACGTCATTGACGTACGTCAACGAATGTATTCACGATTTCATGTTTGTCAATAGAGCCCCCC